GCTCGTGCCATAGGTTCGCCATCACGGCCCTATACCATTTCAGGCAAATGGTGGTCCAGTCTCTTCTTAAAAACCTCCAGGTATGGAGCACCTACAACTTCTGGAGGCAAGCTGTTCCACAGATTAATTGTTGTCACTGTCAGTAAATTTCTCCTTAGTTCTAAGTTGCTTCTCTCCTTGATTAGTTTCTATCCGTTGCTTCTTGTCCTACTCTCAAGTGCTTTGGAGAATAGCTTGACTCCCTCTTCTTTGGGGCAGCCCCTGAGATATTGGAAGACTGCTATCATGTCTCCCCTGGTTCTTTTCATTAAACTAGACATTGTTGTGGCTCCATTATCTGAGCCTGTGTCATCGGCAGGAGAGGACTCAGAGAATGAAGGAGAGGAGTTGGCAAGGCCTCCCTCTGAAGGACCCTCCTCTCTGGCAATGCCTTCGGTGTCCGCCGAAGGGCAAGAGATAGGGCCAGGGCCAAGCACGTCCACACAGCCACAGGTAGACAGTGATGAGGGTGATGAGTCTTGGCTGGATCCTCGGCAGCGTCGCAGAGATAAGCGCACGCAACAAAAGAAAAGGCGTGCCAGAGATTAGGCTGAGTCACTGGACCATACCCCACAGGGTATAAAAGGGGGTGAGGTGGCCATTCAGACTCTGTGACGGACAAAACTAACTACTATCGAGTCACATTGCATCTTTGGAAACAACATTATCGGCCTTGGATTTATTTTACCAACTGGACAATTCTTGACTGTGGGTATTTTGTTTATTGAGTAAAAGTTCTTGGCAAGCAGCTACTGGGTTGCTGCCAAGCGTCTTATCGGAAGAATTGGTTGTCTGCCAGTTTATTTAACCCCCGGCTGTCTGTTTGTGTGTGTATGTGTGTGTGAGACGGGGACAGAACAGACATACCCTCAGGTGCTTTGGAGAATAGGTCAATCCCGTCTTCTTTGTGACCGTCTCTCAACCATTGGAAGATGGCTATCGTATCACTAGTTCAGGAAGATGTTACTAAGGAGTATATGGCCTTCTTAAATGGAAAGGACGACCCCAATTTCTTCTGTACAAGGGCTTCTCTTTGAGGGTTTCTATTTGGTCTTTTCCAGTGGTGAAATGTAAAATTTGTTTCTACGGGTTCAGTGCACGTGGCTTGGTGGGGGCGGGTGGTAATGTGACTGGGTGGGCGTGGCCAACTTTTTTTTTTTTTACTTTTTTAAAGCATTTTTTTACAACCTATTTGGGCGAATAGGTTGTAAAAAATGCTTTTCAAAGGTTTAAAAAAGGGGCTCTGACAATCACAGCTGTGGCACGCGACAGCCAGAGCCTTTTTTTTAACCTTTTAAAAGCAAGTGTCAGGTTTTCAGGCTGTCTTCAAATAAATTGCATCGCAAACAAAGTCTTTTATAAAACAAATTTCGATTTTATTAAGCACAGCACTTTTTACACAGACTCGTTGCAATGCACGTTGGGGATGCATTCGTTCTTAGCAGACAGATGTGCTGTCGATGTGCTTTTTCTATGCAGAATGTTGCCCCAAACTGGCTCTTGGCCATTTCTTAACCAGCTGATTACAAAACTGCTCAAATGCCAAGGAAGAAGAAGAAGGAAAAAAAAAACTTCAGTACCCCCTTGTGGATATTTGAGCTCAACGCTCGTCTCTTAGCAGCTGTCCATGTATGGTTCCAGTCCCGGCTTAGAAGCAGAAAGAAGGGAACGGTTTTGGGAAAAACGGTTTTGGGGCCTTGGTAGTACAGTGGTCTAAGGCACCCTGTTATTAAGCTGGTTATTAAGACCAGCTGCCTGCAATTACTGCAGGTTCGAATCTCGCCAGGCTCAAGGTTGACTCAGCCTTCCATCCTTTCTAAGGTAGGTAAATTGAGGACCCAGTTTGTGGGGGCAATAAGCTGACTTTGTATAAAATATACAAAAGGATGAAGGCTATTGCTTAACGCACTGTAAGCCGCCCTGAGTCTCCGGAGAAGGGCGGCATATAAATCAAATTTAAAAAAAAACAAAAACCTGCCATCCTATATGATCTCTTCCGTAACAGGCAGCTCCAAGGAGCATACTTTGGTCTCCTTCCTGCATTTCAACTAATAATAATAATAACCTTTATTGTCACTGCACAACATATGTACGAGGAGATTGGAGGAGCTTTGCACACCCTCAACATAATACAACTCAGTGGAAACAGAAAATCATTAACCCAATAAATCATATTAACAAAACCCCCAGTCCTATTGCCCCAGTGTGAACATGTTACACGTTGCGTCGGCCTTGCAAGCCCATCGTACTACGTAGTTAGGATGCTATTTCTCATTCAGGAGTCTGACAGCCCACGGATAAAAACTGTTCTTCAGCCTGTTTGTGCGGCTGGCTTTGCTTCTATATCTCCTTCCCGATGGTAGGAGGGTAAAGAAGGGCTGACCAGGGTGAGAGTCGTCCCTGAGGATTTTCCTCTCTCTTCTAAGGCAGCGAACCGATGCGATCTCGTCTAGTGGTATCGGGGGGGGGGGCAGCCCACAATGTTTTGTGCTGGGCTCATCACAGTGGTGAAATTCAAATTTTTTTATTACCGGTTTCGTGGGTGTGGCTTGGTTGGCGTGGCAGGGGAAGAATACTGCAAAATCTCCATTCCCAGAGGACCGAGATTGTTGTCTGATTCTGTAAATCGCTTAGAGAGGGCTGTAAAGCACTGTAAAGCAGTATATAAGTCTAAGAGCTATTGCTTTTGCCCTTCCTTCCTTGCCTTCCTCCCTCCCTCCTATAGTGGTGCTGTTAGAATGCAGCATTGCAAGCTGACTCTGCCGACTGCCAGGGGTTCAATTCTCACCGGCTCAAGGTTGACTCAGCCTTCCATCCTTCCGAGGTCGGTAAAATGAGGATCCAAATTGTTGGGGGCAATAGGTATGTGAAGCGGTATATAAGTCTAAGTGCTATTGCTATAGGCTTCAAATAACCTTTACCTAAGCAGCTGAAACTGCCAATTGGCTCAGTGAAGGACCTATCTTAGATTGCTGACTGTCAATCAAAATTCAGACGCTTGGCAAATGACTCATAGTTATGACGGTTGCAGTGTTCCAGGGTTATGTTTGTGACCTTCTGGCAAGCAAAGTTAATGGGGAAGCCAGATTCGTTTACCGACTGTGTTACTAACTTAACAAGTGCAGCGATTCACTCAACAACAGTGGCAAGCAAAGTCATAAAACGGGGATGGGGGGAAACTCACTTCACTGTCTCACTTAGCAACAGAAAACTGGGGATCAATCGTGGTCAAAAGTCAAGGACTATCTTGTCATCCAAGAAGCTTCTTCGGTTCTGAGTGCTATTGCTAATAAGCAAGGTTTGCCTTCTAATAGATGGGTGCTTTGTGATGAATAGCAGCCTTTAGTCCAGCTTTCCACTCCTGATTACCAGGGGGGTGGATGGGTGGGTGTTGAAGAATTTCCTCCCTCAATATTTACACGGACCTTCTTTATGGCTCTGTGAACTATTTGTGTTCTGCCACCCAGAATCTATCAGGTTTGGGGGCAAATTAAATGCTGTTAAATAATTGTCTTTGCCAAGTTGTGCTTGAAATGTGTCGATTCCCCCCATCCCCGCCAATAAATCCGTCTGATGGACTAGGCCCGTGATGGCGAACCTGTGGCACGCATGCCACAGGTGGCACGCGTAGCCATATCAGTGTGCACGCTAGTTCATGCGCGCACCGGCCAGCTGATTTTTGGGCCTTCTGGGCCCACCAGAAGTAGGGAAACAGGCTGTTTCCTGCCTCCCAAGGGCCTGGGGTGGGTGGGGAAGGCCCGTTTTTCTTTCTCACCTGGCTCCAGATCCTCTCTATGCATCTCTGTAGGAGTTTCTGGAGGCTGGGGACAGCAAAAAAGTCACTTCCTGTCCCACCGGGAGTTGGGAAATGGGCCGTTTCAGGCCTCCAAGGGAGTGGGGAAGGCTGTTTTCGCCCTCCCCAGATGCATAGAGAGGATCTGGAGCCAGGTGAGAAAGAAAAACGGGCCTACCTGGCCATTGTGTGCCAGGAGCAGGGGGGGAGGGGATTGCGAGCGCATGTGCAGGGCAGGGCACATAGAATTATGGGTGTGGGCACGCACATGCGCGAACCTCCCCCGCCCCCCCGGCATGCGATGACAAGGTTAGCCATCACTGGACTAGGCCTATCTTTTTTCTCTGGCTCTGAAATTGGGCGGCTTAGCTGGTCTGATTTCTCTCACACTGGCACTCAGCAGAACCCAGTCAGATCATTTCCAACAAGATCGGTGTGTCGAATGCCTGAAATCAATTCTGACTGACTTTTAAACTAAATGGCTGATGGGCAAAGGAGTTGGGAAGTTGCAATCTAAAACTCTGATGGGGCTCAAGTCGCCTACCTCAACGGTGGCCCACTTCTTGTGTTCCGACCTAGGCTTCCCCAGCAGCACGAAGCCGAGTCCTCCTCCCGATAAACCCCTTTTATTTAATTTACAGTGAATTCCTCTCCAGCAGTGTCTTTCCTCTCCCATAGTCTTTCAAGATAGTTCACAATTACCGACCTTTATCAGGCGTGGAGAGTGGCCAGGCTGATATGTTTCAGACACCGCCAATACTTGGCAAGAATGCAATAATGAGCTAATTGTCTCCTGCAAACTCCACTCACTCCTTTTATTCCCTCTGGGAGGGGCCCTTCATCATCCACCTGTGGCCTTACTCCCAAGTCGACCCTTGTTCTTTAGCTGTTCCCTTCGTCGGGCAACTCTGTGCATGCGCACACTGGGAACAGGCTCCAGCTGTTTGTCTGCCTCACTGATGTCTGACTCCAAAGGCAGCTGATAACTGGCATACGGCCCTGGCCCCTTCTCTGCCTCCGATGCAGACCCCTCATCAGAGCCTTCCCCAGACACCAGGACTGGCCCAGGTTCCTCCCCAACCTCCTCACTGTCCGAACCAGCTGCCAGATCTGCTGGCGGGCCACAATATCTTGGCCCCTGGAGCCCATCCCTTCAAAAAGTTGCAGATTTATTAAATCTGTCTGTGGATGTATTTATTGATCAAGCTAAAAGGGAAACAAATGTTTGTTTGTTTTTTTCATATCCCAACAAGAGGCTACTATATTAAATCAAATGTTTAAAGTACATGTGAAGCTCTCCTGTCGCTGGGTTGAAGCTTACAGCGTAGGCAACTGCTGAGGCAGCACTGGCAGGAGAATTTGGTTCGAGAGCCGAATTGAAGAAATACACAGCCTGCTTGCAGTGAGGAGTCCATTGACAATAGTCCTGTATGGAAAAGAAACGAGAACCATCAGGTGGGAAAGTAAGTGAAGGGGTCAAACATCCACAGCGATCATTTTTCTTCTTCTTGTGTGTCAACATTTCTTGCTTCGACAAAAGAGAGGAGTGGCTGTTTCCAGTTTGAATTCTAACGAGAATAGAATAGAATAGAATAGAATAGAATAGAATAGAATAGAATAGGCATCACTTTAGCAGACCATGTAACAATACATCACAATCTTAGGCTTAGGCCCGAGGTACTTGCAGGACCATCTCCTGCCTGCTTCCCACCGTCCTGTCCGCTCTCACAGAGCTGCTCTCCTCAGGGTACCGTCGACCAGGCAATGCCATCTGGCGATGCCCAGGGGTAGGGCGTTCTCTGTGGGCACCCCTACCCTTTGGAACAAACTACTCACTGAGCTCCAAATGGCCCCAGATCTCTGCTCCTTCCGTCGAGGCCTGAAGACTTGGCTATTCCAATGAATGGGCTGATGCTGATTCTTGGGTTTTATTATTTATTGATTTTAATTTGGTTTTAACGGGATTTTATTATTTTATCATTGTATGTTTTTAACCTGTGTTTGCCGCCCTGAGTCCTTCGGGAGAAGGGTGGCATATAAATACTGCCAAATAAATAAATAAATAAATAAATCTTCCAATTTCAGGGTTCAACAAAATATAAGGCAGAATCTTATTTCGGGGAAACATGGTATATAATCAGAATATAATAAACCCAAATAAATCCACAAAATACTCTTGCCTAATTGAAAATTCAAATGACGGGGTAACTCTCATCTTCAACGAAATGTTCAGTAATGCTGAGTGAAAAATCAATAGTGGCTCTATTATATATTTCTTCCTCCAAGCATTGGGCAAACACTCATTTTCCCCATCATAAGATTTTTATATCTTTAATTCTAATGGTGAGTCAGTTCTTTTGCCTTTAAGCCATTGTTAACAATAGGGATAAGATGAATAATGAGAGTATGTGGCCCATTTAAAAGATTTGGAAATAGAAAGAAATCAAAATCCAGGAGCATCTCAGCTCATTATGCATTTAAACTTTCCTTTTAAAAAAATAAAAAATAAAAAATCACCTTAAATGTCAAATTCCAAATAAGTATATGTGTGACATATAAATGGAAAGAGGTCATAAGAATAAATGTATACACAATATGACATTAACAAATCAGTCAATGGAAAGTTTCATATTTAGAAAATAATTAGCATGTTTTTTTATAAAGACATCATTTTGTGCAAACACATGGCTTCTTGGCTATTATCTTTTGTCATTATTGCAACCTATTTCAATTATGCATTACTTTTGGAACATTTGTAATTTGTATAATTTTATTAGCATTGTTGTTTTTGTTGGATTTTTTTTTGCTGTTAGTTTGTTTATAAGCACCCTTTTATTATTTTGCTGCTGTTTGCATTTCAGTGCCAGATTTTCACATGAGAGCTGAGAAAGATTCCCACCCATCTTCCTTGCCAGAGTCAAGGAAAATTGCAATTAAATTGCAATTTTTTTAAAAAAATGACATCAAATATTAATGATGAGTTGATGAACACATGATGAACATCTATGTTCATTGAATTGGTCCAGTGGACTTACTACTCTATATCAAATCAGTTGCTAATATTGTTGTAACCTGGTATGAGTTGGGATGTTGTGGTTTTCCAGCACAGCAAAGAATTGTGCGCTGATCTGATGGAATAAAAGTAGAAACCAGTAATCAAACAGGAAAGGATGAGATTGGGAGCAATCTGCTTCTAATTTGAGAATAGAATAGAATAGAATAGAATAGAATAGAATAGAATAGAATAGAATAGAATAGAATAGAATAGAATTAGAAAATAGAATAAGGAATGGAATGGAATGGAATGGAATGGAATGGAATGGAATAGAATAGAATAGAATAGAATAGAATAGAATAGAATATAGAAGAATAAAGAATAGAATTAGAGAATAGAAAATAGAAAATAGAATGGAATGGAATGGAATGGAATAGAATAGAATAGAATAGAATAGAATAGAATAGAATAGAATAGAATAGAATAGAATAGAATAGAATAGAATATAGAAGAATAAAGAATAGAATTAGAGAATAGAGAATAGAAAATAGAAAATAGAAAATAGAATAAAGAATGGAATGGAATGGAATGGAATAGAATAGAATAGAATAGAATAGAATAGAATAGAATAGAATAGAATAGATAGAATAGAATAGAAAGATGAAATGGAAAATTTGGAATGGAATGGAATGGAATGGAATAGAATAGAATAGAATAGAATAGAATAGAATAGAAATAGAAAATATGGAATGGAATGGAATGGAATGGAATGGAAAGAATAGAATAGAATAGAATAGAATAGAATAGAATAGAATAGAATAGAATAGAATAGAATAGAATAAATAGATAAATGGAAAATTTGGAATGGAATGGAATGGAATGGAATGGAATAGAATAGATAGAATAGAATAGAATAGAGTAGAGTAGAGTAGAGTAGAGTAGAGTAGAGTAGAGTAGAGTAGAGTAGAGTAGAGTAGAATAAATAGAATAGAATAGAATAGAATAGAATAGAATAGAATAGAATAGAATAGAATAGAATAGAATAGAATAGATGAAATGGAAAAATTGGAATGGAATGGAATGGAATGGAATAGAATAGAATAGAATAGAATAGAATAGAATAGAATAGAAAATATGGAATGGAATGGAATGGAATGGAATGGAATAGAAATAGAATAGAATAGAATAGAATAGAATAGAATAGAATAGAATAGAATAGAATAGAATAGAATAGATGAAATGGGAAAATTTGGAATGGAATGGAATGGAATGGAATGGAATAGAATAGAATAGAATAGAATAGAATAGAGTAGAGTAGAGTAGAGTAGAGTAGAGTAAGTAGAGTAGAGTAGAGTAGAGTAGAGTAGAATAGAATAGAATAGAATAGAATAGAATAGAATAGAATAGAATAGAATAGAATAGAATAGATGAAATGGAAAATTTGGAATACAATGGAATGGAATGGAATGGAATGGAATGGAATGGAATGGAATAGAATAGAATAGAATAGAATAAATAGAATAGAATAGAATAGAATAGAATAGAATAGAATAGATGATATGGAAAATTTGGAATGGAAAATATGGAATGGAATGGAACGTACTGCCCAATTGCAGGCAACTGGCAGGCAGCAGAAGTAGCTTACAGTACTGCACTCTAACCACAGTGCCATCTCGGCTCTTATAAATAAGTAAGTAAGTAAGTAAGTAAGTAAGTAAGTAAGTAAGTAAGTAAGTAAATAAATAAATAAATAAATAAATAAATAAATAAATAAATAAATAAATTTTCTTCTCCAAATTAACTTCAAGCATGAAAGCCAGTTTGATCTAGTGGTTAAGGTATCAGGCTAGAAACTGGAAGACTGTGAGTTCTAGTCCTGCCTTAGGCATGAAAGCTGGCTGGTTGACTCTTGACCGATCACCAGGAGACTGCGAGTTCTAGTTCTGTCTTAGGCAAGAAAGCCGGCTGGGTGACTTTGAGCCAATCACCAGGAGACTCTGAATTTTAGTCCTGCCTTAGAGGTGAAAGCTGGTTTGGCCAATCACAAAGGAGAACGTGAGTTCTAGTCCTGCCTTAGACAGGAAAGCTGGCAGGGTCACTTTGGATGAGCCACTCACTCTCAGCCCAACTCGCCTCAAAGGGTTGTTGTTGTTGTGGGGAAAAATAGGACCGAGTATTGGATATGTTTGCCACCTTGACTTTTTTTTTACAAAAATTAGATGGGCTATTTTTATTTTTTTTAAAAAATTGATTTATATGCTGCCCTTCTCCGGAGATTCAGGGCGGCTTACAATGCGTTAAGCAATAGCCTTCATACTTTTTGTATATTTATACAAACAAAGTCAGCTTATTGCCCCCACAAACTGGGTCCTCAATTTACTTACCTTAGAAAGGATGGAAGGCTGAGTCAACCTTGAGCCTGGTGAGATTCGAACTTACAGTAATTGCAGACAGCTGGTGTTAATCACAAGGCTATCAGTCTGCTGAGCCACCAGGCCCGTATTGAATAATAAACACATTTTGCTAAAATTCTATGCTAATGTGATTTGGTGAAAATGTCTTATTTGCACAACACATGGACACACTAAGATTAACACCAAGCAGTAAATATTGCCCCAATCAAGGAACCAGCAACTGAGACAAACAAACAGTAAACAAATCTTAATCAAGGAATTATCAAGAATACTCCCATCAACACTGATAGGCCAAGCCGCCTGTATATAAACAAAGATCAAACCCCCATACCCACTAGCACTGATAAAATTACCTAGTTGGGTAATGAAACGTCTGCAAGAAATCAGTCAAGCTCAGGGAGCACCAAGGATCCCACATTTCAGCTACAAACATTTCCTTTTACATGCAGTTTACCTGTTTTCTGTTCATGTTTCTATCTCATCCAGTGAAAACTCTCAGTTCCTTGAGGCAAGATCTATGTCTCTGTTATCACTAAGTACAAAATTCTTACCTGCGCACCTGATGCAGCCACAAAGAAGAAGAGGTCAACTTATTTTCCAAAGCACCAGAAGGCAAGGCAAGAAATAATGGATGGGAACTCATCAAGGAGAAAAAACAACCTGGAATTGAGGAGTAACTCCTTAACAGCGAGGACACTTAACCAGTGGAACAGCTTGCCACCAGAAGTTGTGGGTGCTTCATCACTGGAGGTTTTTAAGAAGAGACAAAATAGTCATTTGTCTGAAATGGTATAGGATCTCCTGCTTGAGCAAGGGGTTGGACTAGAAGACCTCCAAGGTCCCTTCCAACTCTATTCAGATTGATTGATTGATTGATGCCAAGTCCTTAAAACTATAGATTCTCCAGAATATTTTTTTTAATCATCTGATCTCTGATTCTAAGCATATCTTTTTTTAAAAAAATTTGATTTATATGCCGCCCTTCTCGGAGACTCAGGGCGGCTTACAGTGCGTTAAGCAATAGCCTTCATCCTTTTGTATATTTATACAAAGTCAGCTTATTGCCCCCACAAACTGGTTCTCAATTTACCTACCTTAGAAAGGATGGAAGGCTGAGTCAACCTTGAGCCTGGTGAGATTCGAACTTACAGTAATTGCAGACAGCTGGTGTTAATCACAATGCTATCAGTCTGCTGAGCCACTCAGGCCCTTAATAGTGTGAATCTTCGACTTTTTAGCAGTATGCCCCATAGAAATTAATAAGTATATATACCTCTCTCTTTTTTGACAGGTGGACATTGACAGTTGAGTAGACTAGCAAGGACAAGGGAATAGAAACACACACATACAAACACACACAAACACAATCAATACTGGAAAATATAGTTAAAGAACAAGTTCAGGTTTCTACAGGGAACTGTAAGCCTGGGAAACATCTGGGTCAGATATATTTGACCTTAAATCGAGTCACTCTAGTTATTATAAGCCAGACACCTTCGCTTTCCTACAATGCTGCTGTGAAATGAATCTAGTTTTAATAAGGTTGCCGAGTAAATCCTAAAGGAAGGTCTTAATGAGCTCATTTTTGCCACCTCGTACAAGTTCATCACACTTCCCCCCGTTCTTCTTTTCTGTTATTTTTATGACCTGGTTCTTATTCCAGAGAGGAAAAAAAAATAACAATTGACCCCCTTTGAGCTTCCAGAATTCCAGAAAGCTTTGTTAGTTTCCTTAATTGGCGTGAGAGGGAGATGTAAGGCTGTTTCTAAAAATCACTGTTTCCATACACCGTGGGTGTTGAAAATTATTTTAGGAAAGTTGGAAGAATGAAGGAGTGGGTAGTGTGAATCGCTGAGCTTGGAAATCAGTAAGTTGGATAATACCACCACAGAGCACACACCCACTCACCTAGGAAAGAGGAGAAATGTGGGAGATGAGATAGGTAGGTAGATGATAGATAGATAGATAGATAGATAGATAGATAGATAGATAGATAGAGATAGATACAGTAGATAGATAAGAGAGAGACAGATAGATGGACAGAGAGACAGACAGAAAGATACAGTAGAATAGAATAGAATAGAATAGAATAGAATAGAATAGAATAGAATAGAATAGAATAGAATAGAATAGAATAGAATAGAATAACAGAGTTGGAAGGGACCTTGGAGGTCTTCTAGTCCAACCCCCTGCTTAGGCAGGAAACCCTACACCATTCCAGACAAATGGTTACCCAACATCTTCTTAAAAACTTCCAGTGTTGGAGCATTTACAACTTCTGGAGGCAAGTTGTTTCACAGATTGATGGTTGTAACTGTCGGGAAATTCCTCCTTAGTTCTAAGTTGCTTCTCTCCTTGATTAGTTTCCACCCATTGCTTCTTGTTCTACCCTCAGGTGCTTTGGAGAATAGCTTGACCCTCTCTCTTCTTTGTGGCAGCCCCTGAGATATTGGAACACTGCTATCATGTCTCCCCTAGTCCTTCTTTCCATTAAACTAGACATACTCAGTTCCTGCAACTGTTCTTCATGTGTTTTAGCCTCCAGTCCTCTCATCATCTAATCATTTTTGCCTTTGATCAACAGCACTGTCCGTAGAAATTCTAAAGTGGGATTCTCAATTATTTGGTTATCTACAAGACTTCTAAGGATGCCGTTCTCAATTATGAAGCAGCCAAGCCAGCACATGCATATAAAGCAGAAGGAATTCATATCTAGGGACCCGGGTTTGAATTCCAACTTATGGACAAATGTTGCCACTTCTTTAGCAAACAAGAGCTAGGAGAGAATGTTATTCAGATCTTTTTTTAAAAAAAAACTTTATTGAAAGTGGAAAATCCAACCATGACATGCGAATCTATTAAAGGAGAAGCAGACCTTGACTTACGACCACAGTTGAGCCCAAAACCTAGGTTGCTAAGTGAGACGTTTTTGAAGGGAGGTTTGCCCCATTTTACGACCTTTCTCGCCACCATGGTTAAGTGAATCACTGCGGTTGTTAAGTTGGCCACATGGTTGTTAACTGAATCTGGCTTCCTCCCATTGATGTTGCTTGTCAGACGGTCGCAAAAGGGGATCAGGTGCAGCCGTCATAAATATGAGTCAGTTGCCAGGCATCTGAATTTTTGATCACGTGACCATGGGGATACCGCAACGGTCGTAAGCGTGAAAAGAGGTCATAAGTCACTCTTTTCGGTGCCGTTGTAGCTTGGAACGGTCGGTCACTAAACGAGCTGTTGTACTTTGGGGATTACCTGTACAAGACGTGGTCTAGGGTACAACTAGGAGCCTTGGTAGTACAGTGGTTTAATGCACCCTGTTATTAACACAGCTGCCTGCAATTTCTGCAGGTTCGAATCTCGCCAGGCTCAAGGTTGACTCAGCCTTCCATCCTTTCTAAGGTAGGTAAATTGAGGACCCGGTTTGTGGGGGCAATAAGCTGACTTTGTATACATATATAAAAGTATGAAGGCTATTGCTTAACGCATTGTAAGCCGCCCTGAGTCTCCGGAGAAGGGCGGCATATAAATCAAATTAAAAAAAAAAAAAACTAGTCCTCAACTTACAATCCTAATTGGGACCAGAACGTCTACTGCTAAAGCAAGGCGGTTGCTAAGAGAGTTGCACCCAGTTTTACAGCCTGTGACTTATTTATGAAATTCATTTGCCGCCATCTTGTAGCCAACGATTCTGGGTGGGTTGCCACGATTGTTAAATGGATCACTGTGAATGTGGCTTCCTTCGTTGACTTTGGCTTGTTGGGAGCCAGTTGGTAAGGTTGCAGATGGCAGTCATGAGATGCGACGACTGTTGTAAATTACAGGCCCGGTTGCCAAGCAATGGAATTTCAAGCATCTGACTGCGGGGATGCTGCAATGTTTGTTAAGCGTGAGGACCAATCGTAAGTCAGTAATCGTGAGAGGGATCTCGGAGTCTTAGTGGACAACCAATTAAATATGAGCCAGCAATGTGCAGTAGCAGCCATAAAAGCCAATGCAATCCTAACTTGCATTAACAGAGGGATACAATCAAGATCAAGGGAGGTACTAATACCACTCTATAAAGCCTTAGTAAGACCACACCTAGAACACTGCATCCAGTTGTGGTCACCACACTATAAAAAAGATGTTGAGATTCTGGGAAAAGTGCAGAGAAGAGCAACCAAGACGATTAGGGGACTGGAGGCTAAAACATAGGATGAACGGTTGCAGGAACTGGGCATGGCTAGTCTAGTGAAGAGAAGGACCAGGGGAGACACGATAGCAGTCTTCCAATATTTGAGGGGCTGCCACAGAGAGGAGGAAGGGGGTCAAGTTGTTTTCCAAAGCACCTGAAGGCCAGACAAGGAATAAGGGATGGAAGCTGATCAGGAAGAGATTCAACCTGAAAATAACGAGGAATTTTCTGACAGTGAGAACAATCAACCCATGGAACAGAAGTTGCCTGAGCTTCATCACTGGAGGCTTTCAAGAAGAGACTGGACTGCCATTTGTCAGAAATGGTGTAGGGCCTCCTGCTTGAGCCGAGGGTTGGACTAGATGACCTACAAGGTCCCTTCCAACTCTGTTAATCTGTTAAAGTCAGTTTGTTCAGTGCTGTCATTTAGTGAACGGTGGCTAAATGAATGGTTATAGGCTGAAGACATTATGACTTGACTTGTTGACTGCAATGACGTATAACCAACATTCCAGGCTCAATTGTGTTTGTAATTAAAAATCTACTCGTATTATCATATATATTTTTTTGGTCTACTATAGTATTAATTCAGCCTTTTTTTCTTTCCCCCTTTCTTTGTGTTATATTTAAAATTCCAATGATTATATTGCAACTTACTATATTTTGCATAGCGCGTTTATAGCATAAAGGTATTTTTGATTCACTTTAAATCCCAGAATTGCTCGTGAAGCCTCCAAGCAGTTCGATTGAAATGAGTCCCAGTTCAACTTTACGTTCCATCAACTCCAATCTACATCTGTAGTAAATCCTGTTCTCTGTTGTAGGTCCTTAGTAAGCCTGTCCATCCTAACCACGCTGCACAATACGCTTTGCAGGAGCTTCCAATTGCATGCACTCCGTTTAATTATAACGGCAGATTCACCGCCATTAATTATGAAATCTGTCTCCTGCGTTATTTCCGGCAACTACTACAATTGAATCCGTTCCAAAAGTGCTCAAAATTAGGCATTGGAACGGAGTAGAATTGATGGCTTTTTTTCCCCCCTTTTCTTTTTTATACAGCAATTCAATATGATGGCTGTCCCAGCTTGCCAACTCCTTGTGCAGCAGAGTTGAAACAGAACCTAACTAACCTTTTCATTGGAATCCTGCACAAGTCCTGTGCTGATGGAAATGTTAGGTGCCAGATGGTATTCCATCCACAGAACAGCTCCGTGACTCTTCGCACATCTGCAAAAATATATATTTATTTTATTTATTTTTATTAGTCTTATTTCTATGCCGCCCATTCTCCGAGGACTCTGGGCAGTTTACAACAATCGACAGTATACTAAATAGCATATTGCCCCCAACAATCTGGGTCCTCATTTTACCTCCCTCAGAAGGATGGAAGGCTGAGTCAACCTTGAGCCGGTGAGATTTGATCCGCTGATCTGCTGAACTAGCAGTCAGCTGAAGTAGCTGCAGTACTGCACTCTAACCACTGCGCCACCTTGCGCAGATATCCTTAAATATTGATTTCCCGCAAACCCTGAAGAATACCGATGGACCAACACATGCATGATGTAGTGTACAAACTCCTTTTGAAATATGAACAATATTTTCCTGTATCTAGAAAAACACTATTTTCTAGATAAAAGGGCAAAGATGAGCCTACTTTGAGGGCAAACACATGCTGAAAGAACCATTTAAAATGACTTATGGTTTACGGTGGCTCAATGACTAAGACGCTGAGCTTGTCGATCGAAAGGTCAGCAGTTCAGCAGTTCGAATCCCTAGTGTCGCCTAATGGGGTGAGCTCGTTACTTGTCCCAGCTTCTGCCAACCTAGCAGTTCGAAAGCACGTAAACAAAAATTGCAAAATAGGGACCGCTTTTGGTGGGAAGGTAACAGCGTTCCGTGCCCGTTTGGTGTTTAGTCATGCCAGCCACATGGCCATGGAGACATCTTCGGACAGCGCTGGCTCTTTGGCTTTGAAATAGAGATGAGCATCGCCCCCTAGAGTCAGGAACCACTAGCACATATGTGCGAGGGGGAATCTTTATCTTTACTATTCTTAAATATCGATTTCCTGCAAACCCTGAAAAATACTGATGGACCAACACATGCATTATGTAGTGTACAAACTCCTTTTGAAATATGAACGTTATTTTCCTTTATCAGAAATCTATATAAAAGGGCAAAGAGGAGCCTACTTTGAGGGCAAACACACGCTGAAAGAACCATTTAAAATGACTTATGGTTTACTTTCCCATTATGTGAAATGCTAAATCTTAATCAGGACCAAACACTGTATGCACTCTGCCAGAAAAACAAAACTGTCTAGTTTTCAGAACTGAAAAGAAAGTTCCAGAGAAATCTTGATGAAGGGGGAAAAATAAGCTTCTTGGATGAGAAGCGAAACATTTAAAAAAAAAAAAAACCCAAGAAAGTCTAGTTCCTTTTTGGAAAAGCATGTTTGGAAAAAAACATGACCTGGATGACTGAGAATCTCCACAAGATGTTTGCATTCCTTCTACTTTGCATGAAATGCTTGGTTGTTTCCAGATAAAGTGGTTTGACTACCGAAAGGAAATTCTTCCTCGTTTGATTTCTAGGAAAAAGAATCTCAAAAAAAAAAAAGAATCTTAAAACGCCCAACGTTTTGCCACGATGAATTTACGGGATATTTTCTCAAAAAAAAAAGTACATTTGATGTTTAAATAAGGATCGCTCTGCAGGCAAATATTGATTTTTTATGGCATATTCTACCGTTTTACAGCTGGTGCAGCAATAACACCATAATTGGGTGCAATGATAACCCCACAGACTCTGTATATGTTTGAGAAAGAAATGTTCAGCCAGGCAACAGATGGCTGTATTTGGAAAGGAGAAATAAACATCGTTATAAATCAAATCATTCATATGGTACCAGATAATTTATACATTATTCATTAAGAACAATATGTTGCCTCATATGTGAGAGATTGTTTTCATTAAGCTATGACACTGCAAAACTACCCTATTTTTAAGGAAGAGTTCCTCTAAAGCACGGGTCTGCAACCTTAAACGCTCAAAGAGCCATTTGGACCCGTTTCCCACAGAAAAGAAAACACCGGGAGCCACAAAACCCTTCCCATTCCTGGCTATTTCTTGAGCGGCCACAAAATTAGCATATGTAGTTGAATTAAACATTCTGTTTTCTTCTGAAACTTTTCTTTTCTTAGATTTATCCATGGTTGGCCTACTGGGGGTTGAAAAGCTCAATAAATCGCGTGCCAGCAGGTGTTACACATTGGCGGTTGGGAAGCATATTTTGAGTGACAGGGAGCTGCAGCACAGGGGTGAAAGAGCCACATGCAGCTCCAGAGCCGCACGTTACTGACCCCTGCTCTAAAGGCTCAACGTCCCTTTTTATTTCAGTTGCTTCACTTTAAACAGCCTGCTTTACTTTCATTTTCGTTTTCAGCATAGCTTGATTAGCACAAGAAAAAAAATCTGCTCCCAGCAATTTACCTCCTTGCAGCAAACAGCAGAGGCCTGCGCAAAACAGCTGAGAGCAAAACAGCTGACAGTCGGGAGGCCGATCCAATCAACTTGTACTAATTAGGCTGTGCTGAAGCTGTTTCTTCTTGCTGCTTGCTGCAAGGACGTAAACTGCTGGGAGGCAGAGGCCAAAGGGTGGGGGCCAGTGGGTGGGCAGGGCTACATTCGGTGTATAAGATGCACCTAAATTTTCACCCCCTTTTAGGGGGAAAAAGGTGCGTCTTATACGCCGAAAAATATGGTAACTTAGAGCAGGGTTTCCCAAACTGTGAAAATCCCAGCTGGCTGGACTTCCACTCCCAGAATTCTCAGCAAAGGCCACCGTGAGTGAGAAACTCTAGGAGTTGAAGTCCACATCAGTGGAAGTCATCCTAGTTCGGTAAAAGTGTCTTGTGGAACATCCTGTAAAACATCAAATATTGCAGTTTAGTTTTCTCCCCCAGGATACTGACCGTGACAGGTTTAGGATGCCTTCTTCCCTGAGAGGATGTTCTGGTAAAGCTTGTTGGAAGTCAAACGTCAGAACCGTGAGGGGATCAGAGGTGGATCTGCATGGGTATTCCCAAAGTGGATGGGGCTCGGCTTCCCTCGATTCTCGGAAGTCTAAGGAATTCTAAAAGACGTGGCGAGAAAAATTGGGTCAGCAATGCAGAATTTAGAAAGAAGCACTTCTTTGAAATTCCAAAGTACTGAGGAAGTACAATAGTGGCAAAAATTGTGGAAACCTCTTGGGAAAAGTGTATTTTTGAGATTTGATGGCTAATAACACTTTTTTTTTTTTTTTTTTTTGAGTTTCAAGATAATCATATTCTACTGCTGGAATGGCCTGGGAATAGCCCAGACCTTCACCCAATTGAAAATCTACGGAGCCGACTAAAGAAATTCGTTAGTCAGAAGCGACCCGGCAATAAAACCCAGTTAATAGAAGCCATCATTCAATCTTGGTTTCACATTATAGCAGCTGCAGAACTCAAAGACTTGGTTCACTCCACGGCAAGACGTTGTAAGGCCATAATTCATGCTAAAGGTTACCCAACTAAGTATTCACTGACATGGTGATCATTTTTGTATATCTCGTTTTTTCTACGTGTTTCACTTTTCTACTTTATACTATAACTGCTATTCTAATAGCAAATCCTTCATAAAAGTTATTGCATGACATTCTTGATTAAATTATCTTTCCATTGATATATAATTTTATGGTACTACTCCAAAAAAGAGTGGTGTTTGCCTTCAGAGGTTGTGAATGCTCCAACACTGGAAGTTTTTAAGAAGAGATTAGATAACCATTTGTCTGAAGTGGTGTAGGGTTTCCTGCCTAAGCAGGGGGTTAGACTAGAAGATCTCCAAGGTCTCGTCTCTTCTCTTCTCTTCTCTTCTCTTCTCTTCTCTCCTCTCCTCTCCTCTCCTCTCCTCTATTCTAGTCTTTCTGTTCTCTATTGTTCTCTATTCTTTTCTCTATTCTATTATTCTATTCTATTCTATTCTATTCTATTCTATTCTATTCTATTCTCTATTCAGTTCAATTAATTCTATTCTATTCTATTCTTTCTATTTTCAATTCAATTAATTCTATCCTATTCTATTCTATTATTTCTGTTCTCTATTCTGTTTTCTGTTCCGTTCCATTCCATTCCTATTCTGCATTCTATTCTATTCTATTGCTGTGAATGCCAATGGGACAGGTTGACATTACCTGCTCCTCCTCTAAAGCCAGGAAGACAAAAATAGCCCATCCCAGCTGGGTTCACACATTGGGTCAGACCTCAGGGGTCATGTGGTTTGTTTAATTTCGGTCGAATGCAACCTTAACACAAACGTACAACCCAGGTTTGACCTAATATGCAGCCCAAGTGAACCTGTGGCATAGGCACAGGTCCAAAGCAGAGGGCATTATGAGGAAACCCGGAAAAGATTTCTCTTCATTAATCGGGGAAGGGCTCCGTGTTTGTGCCCTTTTCACAGCAGATTTTGCTACACCCTCACAGCTGCTAATGTGACTCATTAAAGCCATCATCCCAGACATTTCTAAGTAGTACTTTCCAATAACTACACATTTTTGCAATTAAGTTAATTGGCCCTATGCTCTCCAACAATGAGGGTGGAGAACTTGCAAACCCCTTATTATCACGAAAAGGATGTGGCACAAAGGTCCTTGTGGGAGTAACTCGGTATTTTAAGCAACATCGTTGAACTTTCGTTTCTTGGCTTCAGAGTTTTGGCTGCGGCAAAGATTTCGATTACCGCGGCTGCTTTGTATTGTTTGCTTGGGATTGTTATACAATTGCCCCACTGCAGAGCTTCGTAATTGTTTTTTAATAGATTAGTACTATTTTTTAAAGGCATGGAGGTGTTGCTGTTCTTACATTATTAGACTTTTTTCTGGTTTTTGTTGTTGAGACTCTAGAAAGAGTGCAGAGAAGAGTTAACAAAGATGATTAGGGGACTGGTGGCTAAAACATATGAAGAAGGGTTGCTAGAATTGGGTAAGTCTAGTTTAATGAAAAGAAGGACTAGGGGAGACATGATAGCAATGGTCCAATATTTGAGGGGCTGCCACAAAGAAGAGGGAGTCAAGCTATTCTCCAAAGCACCTGAGGGCAAGAGAAGAAACAATGGGTGGAAACGAATCAAGCAATCTAGAACCAAGGAGAAATTTCCTGACAGTTAGAACAATTAATCAGTGGAACAACTTGCCTCCAGAGGTTGTGAATGCTCCAACACTGGAAGTTTTTAAGAAGATGTTGGAGAACCATTTGTCCAATTTGTGTAGGGTTTCCTGCCTAAGCAGGGGGTTGGACTAGAAGACCTCCAAAGTCCCTTCCAACTATTCTATTCTATTCTATTCTATTCTATTCTATTCTATTCTATTCTATTCATACACCAAAGCCAGATCCGTCCGATGTTGATGGGGTCCTTGGTGCTCTCTGAGATCGATGGTTTTCTTACAGACATTTCATTTCCAAACTAGGTAACCTCATCAGTGCATCTGATATCTCACAAGATATGAACATTACCCAGGTAAGCTCTCTTCCCCTCCCTCCTGTGTTGGAATTGCTCAGTTTTGCTTCCCATTGGCCACGTAGGTTGAGAATTGTGTGAATAGAGCAGGATGGTTCAATTTGACACCCATGGCAAAATAGGTCATAAAATCAGGGACAACTCACGTAACAACAGAATTACTTAGCAATTCTGGTCACACTTGTAAGTTGAGGATTAGCTGTATACACATAGTATACTTTTGCAACAGCTAACCCTGTAAGGCAGTCTGCTTTACTCTCTATTTCAGCAGAGAGACGTTCCCAGAGAGACAAAGTTGATCATCATAAGACCACATCAATCAAGTTCTCAATTTGAATTTTGTCTCAGATACAGATTAACAGAGTTGGAAAGGAACCTGTAGGTCATCTAGTCCAACCCCCCGCAGGAGACCCTACACCAGTGGTGAGTTGCTCCCGGTTCGGTCCGGTTCTATAGAACCAGTGGTAAAACCAGCGGGAGGCTCCGCCCACCCGCCATGACGTCATCATGGTTGATCTGCGTATGCGCAGAAGCGCGCACTACCATTGCAAACAGGTAGTAAAGGTAAGTAGAACCCATCCCTGCCCTACATGTGATGATTCATTTGGCCTTTCACCAGGTGATAACTCACCTTTATCATGTCATCCATAATGCGCATATCGAAACCTTCACAGGTGCCAGAAGGGCTTCGGATTCGCCACAAATCCTAGTGGAAGAAGAAACAAGAAGCCTTTCTCAGCATTGTAAATTCTAGTATATGATTTGACATTGCAGACTTCTTATACTGTGAACTAATTCTTGGTTCATAGCGTTAGAAGTCTGCAGTATCAAATCATATACTAGAAACTTTATATTTGGCAGACGTTCTTGGCCATAGTGTGACTAGTTATATAACTGAGAAGAGTAGGTTTGCATAAATACACTGAAAGATTTCTATAATTATACAACACATGTAAATGGAGTGAAAAAGTCTGTAATGAAATGACTTCAGATACTTAAGAAGAGGCAGTTTATTTAGGGGAAATTTCTGGTAAGCGAAAGAAAGAAAGAAAGAAAGAAAGAAAGAAAGAAAGAAAGAAAGAAGAAAGAAAGAAAGAAAGAAAGAAAGAAAGAAAAGAAAGAAAGAAGAAAGAAAGAAAGAAAGAAAGAAAGAAAAGAAAGAAAGAAAGAAAGAAAGAAAGAAAGAAAGAAAGAAAGAAATTAAGAAAGAAAGAAAGAAAGAAAGAAAGAAAGAAAGAAAGAAAGAAAGCTCTCCTTAACAATGGAAATGTTGGGTTCAATTGTAGTTGTAAGTCGAGAGCTACCTATAACTTCATAGATAGATAGATGATAGATAATTGCTAGATAGATAGATGATATAGACAGATAGATAGATAGATAGATAGATAGATAGATAGATAGATAGATAGATATAGATGATAGATAGATGATTGATAGATATATGATAGAGATGATAGATACATAAATACCGTAGATAGATAGATAGATAGATAGATAGATAGATAGAGATAGATGATATAGACAGATAGATACAGAGATAGACGATAGATAGATATATGATAGAGAGATGATAAATACATAAATACCGTAGATAGATAGATAGATAGATAGATAGATAGATAGATATAGATGATAGATAGATGATTGATAGATATATGATAGAGATGATAGATACATAAATACCGCAGATAGATAGATAGATAGATAGATAGAGAGAGAGAGAGAGAGAGAGAGAGAGAGAGAGATAGAAGAGAGAGAGAGGACATAGAAGTTCATAGATATTAATTTGAGCAATAATCCTCTGCTTTCCTACCCCATAGGACAATCAAGGAGCTCAGCAAAATGTTCAGCTGGAGGTATAAAATACATTCCTCAGACAAAAGAAGTTTGAAACCAAAACAAATTATTACTGGAAATGTCCTCACCTTGAATTCCACAGTCATCAGGTGGAGAGAAGCCGATTGGGGAAGGACAGTCACATCACTGGTGAGATGACTCTCCAATGCCGTCCGGGCGTACCAGAAAAACAGATTATGCCACGGCAGCAAGCTCGTAGAGAAAAAGGGCTCAGCAATTAAAAGGGATATCTCAGGGAAAGAGAAAGGGGAGAAAAAGGAGATGAATATTTGAACCTGGCCTATGTGGGTAGAAAAAAACCAGAAAAACTCAATTTTCATCATCAGCCCCAGCCATCTTTCAACGTGTAAGTCAACTATTACTTGATCAATCTCTTCCCACCCTGCAAAGCGGCACAATTTTAAATATTCTCCTTGTGGCTAAAAGGAGAATTGTGGCTGCAGTCTCATTCATTCATTCATTCATTCATTCATTCATTCATTCATTCATTCATTCTGTCAGTATTCTGATGCTGCCATAAAAAGGAGGAGACGAGGCTTGACTTTTCACCTACTTATTTTCCCTGTAGATAATATCCCCTAGGAGATGGGATGGGAGGGGGACATTCCGGTGGGTTGAGGTCAGAAGCTGGGGAGACTGACTTGGAAGATGGCCAATGAGAAGATGAGAATTGGGGAACGGAAAGGGAAGGGTTTGGGGGTCAGAGGGTTAGTATCGGCTACGACGAAGTCGAGGCCAGATCTGTTATACTCAATAAATGGAATATTTCAGCAAAGATTAATTGTTTAGGAGTGCAATTTATTTGAGATGACATCAAAACCTGACATATTCATTCATTATTGTCTTGAATTGAATTATGGCCACTGCATTCACTTCTTCCAGAACACAGAAATGATCTTCAGGGGAAGGAAACGCAACCGGAGACTGAGATTGTAACCAATTCTCCCAGAAAGCCTCTTTGGCTCACATTTTCCAAGTCTGGGAAATCCAAATTTAGGAAAATCCCTAAATTGCTGGGCTGAAGATCAAAAGGATCCCTCCCAACCCTGGTCCCTAATGATGGGAAAGCACATCATTAGCACCTCTATTCCCCAACCGGAATTGCCTGCTCAGATGTCTTACCTTTCTGTCTTCAAAATCGGAGGGGGTTAACAATTCCGGGTGTTTCTCTAGAATTGTAATTTTATCTTCCAAACGGTTGGCCCTAAAAATCTTTAGCGGGGGAGGGGAAGAAAAACAAAAGAAAAACTGTTAATGCTCTTGTGAATAATTTTTTTTTAAAAAAGCGATGGGGGCAGGAAAAGCATTGACAGTAAATATTGACACTTATCAAATTTTGATACTGTCCATGGCACTCAAAAGATGGGGAAGAAATGGAGGTAGTGAGAGGTTTTATTTTCCTGGGCTCCAAGATCACCGCAGATGAGGACTGAAGCCAAGAAAGTAAAAGATGCTTGCTCCTGGGGAGGAAAACCATGGCAAATCTAGGCAGCATACTAAAAAGCAGAGACATCACCCTGCCAACAAAAGTGCGTACAGTCCAGGCGATGGTTTTCCCAGTTGCAATGGATGGCTGTGAAAGTTGGACCATAAGGAAGGCTGAGCACCAAAGAATTGAGGCCTTTGAACTCTGGTGCTGGAGAAGATTCCTGCGAGTCCCTTGGACTGCAAGACGATCAAACCAGTCAGTCCTAGAGGAGATCAACCCTGACTGCTCTTTAGAAGGCCAGATCCTGAAGAGGAAACTCAAATACTTTGGCCACCTAATGAGAAGCAAGGACTCACTGGAGAAGAACCTAATGCTGGGAACGATTGAGGGCAAAAGAAGAAGGGGATGGCAGAGAACGAGGTGGCTGGATGGAGTCCCTGAAGCAGTAGGTGTGACCTTAAATGGACTCCGAGGGATGGTAGAGGACAGGAAGGCTTGGAGGAACATTGTCCATGGGGTCGCGATGGGCACAATTTCGTAACTAACAACAACGTCACTCAGTTTTGATTTTTGTAAAATATACGTATCTACTATAAAATATAAGTAGATTTGATGTTTATATAAAACATAAAGACAAAACGGGAGAATTGTTCTTTTGTTCTTGTAAATCTTTTGTTCTTGTAAATCAGTAGGAGCAACAAATCATTTCCCTGGCAATGGGAGACTCTGTCACCTGGAATGCAATTTCCAATGAAAAGTGTTGCAATTTTCAGGTGATTTTTATTCTTGGAATATTACAGGTAGTCCTTAATTTACACAGCCATTTGTTTAGCAACCGTCTGAAGTTACAAAGGCACCGGAAAAGCAACTCACAGCCGGGTCCTCAAATTTATAGCCGTCCCAGCACTACAATCTCATGATCAAAAATTCAAGCGCCTGTCATCCAGCATGTATGTATGAGAGCTGCAAGGCCCTGAGCTCAAGCTTCTGACAAACAAAGTCAACGGGGAAGGCAGATTCACTTAACAGTTGTGTTATTCACTTAAAGTGCTGCAGTGCCCAAAACCAGCTGCAACTCACTTAACAATCACTTTGTTTGGCAATGGAAATTCTGATCTCAGTTGAAGTCAAAAGTCGAGGACTACCAGTATTGATTATTTCGGGATCTGACTGTCAAGACTGACTCGAACATTCACCTTATATGCCGCTTGGATCGCAGCTTGACAAAGAATAAGGGGTGTGTTGTGTTTTGGAATGCAAAGGTGGGGCGAACAGCCTCCCAGCATCGTTGGTTCTCGTGAGACATTGCTCCCCCCTCAAGGACACCCAGAGCAGATGCCACAGCATAATCGGCTGGTTCCCAAAACAGAATGAACTGAAGGGGTTGGTGGCTGTAATGGACTGTAGGTGGCCCGTGGGGAAAAGCGGGAATGACCTATGCGTGGGACCCTCACAGCCG